ATGATATTTTGATATATTCCCGCAGCCGGAAGGAGCACGAGTAGCATCTTAGAGTGGTTTTTCAGACCTTGAGGAATAGTCAATTATATGCTAAGTTCTCGAAGTGTGAGTTCTGGTTGAGTTCAGTTGCATTCCTGGGCCATGTTATATCAGCAGAGAGTATTCAGGTTGATCCGAAGAAGATTGAGGCAGTCAAGAACTGGCCTAGACCAGCATCAGCTACAGAGATTCGGAGTTTCTTAGGGTTGGCAGGCTACTATCGTCGGTTCGTGGAGCCACTTGAATTGGAAAAAAAAAGCAAAATAAATAGTTGTATTGTTGTGAAGAAAAAAAAATATTCCTTGATAAGTGGTGACTTTTGATGTAATTGTGCTTAAAGAAGTATGGAGTTTATATATATTTATGTGAAGGTGGAGTTTTGGTTTGACATAAGTGAGGTTTTAAATGTTAAAATGTATATATTAAAGTGCTTAGGGAGGTGTGGTCACTCTTATATCTAAATGTATCCTACACGTCCCTCAGCCTACATTACAATCAAATAAAGTCCTACTTGATTCTAGACTGAATAAGCTCGATTAGCAGAGTAGTACACTAGGGGCAAGACTATGGTACATCTTTTGTAGCATATGAATGTTATTTCGGAGAGTGGGTGAATTCTTTCCATCTTGAGTTCCTAAATGTTCTTAAATTTTATTGTGTGGAACTACTCTCTTTTGTTGTGTGAGGGCACTTGATTCATGAAGGAAAGGTAATGTCAGTGACCTCTATGTTAGAGTTAGTGGGTGGGTTGTGAAGAATGCGTGGTACTTGTGAGTCAAATCTTGAGGTGAAGATGTTACACTTTTGTGCTTAGTCTATTTTAAATATTCTTGGTGTGATGAGTTAGGAGAATTGTTTAAAAAAAAGGTCGTGTCTATATAAAATATAGTTTGATTGCTCGGTAACGAGCAATGATTTAAGTGTGGGGTGTTGATGATAGGATATAATTGCGTATTTTAGTCGCTTATTACACTCTAATGTACTGCACTTTAATTGAGTTTGAGCTTTGATCGCTAGTGTTTTGCACTAATTATATATTTTATGCCTTGTAGGAGTGATTACGAGCTATGTAGATGTTATGGAATGAATTAAAGTTTTGGAGCTTTGAAGTCTGAGTAAAAACCCAAGGAATTAAGCTGGGATTGTGTTCGGGGATCAACAGATGATAGTTAAGAGCGAAACGAAGAATCGAGCAGGCATACGACGTATTGTCTAGTAAAATGCACATAACATTTCGCTCAGAACTCCGTTTGGGCTCCACAATATATCGTTGGAAATCTATTTGAAAGGGATACAATTTTTATGTTTTGCGTTCGCAAATTCCCACTAACGCGGCGCTTGGTGCGGCGCACAGTGCGCCGCGCCTGTGGAAATTTCCTGCAGCCTGTCAGAATCAACAATCTGAACTTTCCCACTGCCACCCCGCATGGCGTGTCGCCCCATGCGGCACGGTAATGCAAATTTTACAGAGTGAGTGTCCTATTTCACGCAGGAGAATGTATTTTTGTCTAGGCCCGACCATACTTGGTATAAATACATGTAAAAACGCTATTTTGAAGGGGGTGGACAGATTTGAGACACATATTCAACCTAAGGAGGCAGAGGCACAATAGGAGCAAGGCGGGGAATTCTTCTACGAGTTTTTATTTCCTCTTCCTATTTTTCATTGTTGGTTATGACTTTTAGTATTGTAGTTTTACATACTATTATGAATAGCTAATTTGTTATCTAGAGTTTTGATGGAACCTTTTGTAGGATAAATTCTTGTTATGTTTTTATATAATTGAGCCGTAGTATTTTCTCTATGTGTTCAACTATATTCTTATTGTTGATGATTGAAGGACCCTCAATTAGCTGTGCCTATTTAGTATGTATTACTCGGGAGAGAGTATATATTTAGGTAGTTGTTGAATATCATCACTCCTAACGTATATGAGGGATCAATATGAAGGGTTTAAAGGTGGGATTAGGGATAACGAAACCTTGGATGCGATCTAAGTGAGCTATAATTAAAGCCAGCTAGCGTAACTCGGGAGAGTATGTCTAGTAAATTGTTGTAATTACTCGGGAGAGTATGTCTAGTAAATCGTTGTAATTACTCGGGAGAGAGTTACGACAGTCAGAGCGCTCATGATCGGTAGAGAATACTTAGGCGAATTTATAGAAAATATAGCGGGAAGGATTTCGACAATTGGGAAAATCATAACTCTCGACCTCCTTAATCTTGTCTCTAACCCTTAGTACCTTTAATTATTAATTTACTATTTTAATTTGTTAGTTAATTAGTTAAACACAAGAATATTAATATCTATAAGTTAGGAATTGTTCAAGCTTGTCTTCTTGGTGATAGTGAACAGATGTTGCTAGGCCTTAGTTCTTTATGGGATTCGCCTCCGGACTTGTAAACCGGATTATATTTGCAATGACCGCTTAGTCCTTTTCATAAGGCATGGTTGGGCGTGATCAGTAAACAGAGTATAGTAAATTGAAGAATCTAAATTAGGTAGCTTGTCTAAATTCCAAAAGTATTTATAACACCCAACTTTAATAAATTCTTTGCACCAAAGGTACATAAACTTTGCAAGTATTGACGATAGAATTTGAAGTTCCTTGGAGACTTTATATTATCGAATGCAACTTTGCTTTAATCAAATGCCTATGCATTGTACACTCTTAAGTTAGTCGATCGAACTCTACTAACCAGACAATAATAAAATATATTTAAATATACATGTACATACATGATGAGCAGCTGCATATATTACACAACAAATAAACCCCCTGAATTCTACAGTGTGTATATGGTTGGAAAATAAATAAAATTTTAAACCAATTCCAAATCCATTATTATAAGAAGAGAAGTGGGTGCAATGGTAATTAAAAATATCCACGAATAATTTGTATAGTCTAGTACCTTTAGCATTCGCATCAATAATAATTTCTGAAAATAGTGGAGCAAGAAGAACATCAAGTGATTTAAATAAAAGGAAATTACGAGATTTTGGATTATCTAACAGATTAAGGGGTATTTTTAAAAGTTTGCCGAGGCAGGGATAAATTTGGCCATATAATATAACGGTAGGAGTAAAGTTGGCCATATTGTATAACGAATGTTAAATATTAACAATATTCAAAAGTAGAGGGATATATTTAGTCATTTTCCCTATATATNTGATCTATCTATCATCTATATAACTACGATACACATTTTGGATGGTTTATTCATCTGCTGTAATTTATGTCACTTCTTTAATTCTGCAATATTATCTTCAATAAATCAGTTCGCATTTCGCAATATTTCAAGTTCATGTAAAGACCATTCTTTTCCTAGATCTATGTTAGTGTAAGAACAAAACAAACAACTAAGCCTTAAGCCAAAATCCTAATTAGTTGAAACGAAAACCCACCCAAATTTAAGGATAATTTAGAAAAGCTATAAGCGTGAACACATAATTTAAAGTTGGGTTAGCGTAAACGAACAACAGAGTAGATCACACCTAGTATATACAATTACATGAAACAGTACGACAAAGCTTAGCTTGAAAACAGAATAATTATCAAAATTGAATATATAAGCACAAAATAGTCATAATTTTCATGTTCATGAAAGAATACTGCTCCCAACCCATTGAGCCATTAAGGAAAGCCTCACTTCTTTCATCATTTCGATAGCAAAACCTGACCCAATTTGGTGGTTAAATGCTTTAATAATTTGTGGGTTTTTAAAAGAAAATTAAAAGATTAAACGAGTTGAATTATGAACCTGACGAACTGCACAAATTGATAGGAAAGAAAAATTTACATAAGACACGAAAATGTGAATATTGTGCAATTATTCAGAAGAGAAATAGCAAAAAAGCAACAAAAAAGGAAAAAAGTGGAAACCTAAAAAGAAATCTCACCTTGTTACTGAGAGTGGCAACTAGAGATTAGTTGCTCCAAGAGTTGCTTTGGAATATCAATTAGGAGTAATAAATAAATAAATGACATGTTAATTAATCCTACGCGTTAAGAAGGTATACAAAATTAGGCCTGACTAAAATTTTAAAACTCTGAATCACAGTTATATGTAGAGGAACCCCCACATGATTAGTGATGAGAAATAGAATAATATAATATTAATAGATTGATTATTGATTTTCACGTTCCTTTGTTCAAAGCTACCAGCCTTATAATATTCGTCATTTAATAAACTGACTTTGAAATAAATAGGCATCATTTAATAAGATCAATACAAATGACATTATGATTAATGCCCTCCCTCTAACTTAAATCAAAGCAAAGAGGGATATCAGTTTATTTTATAATCATCATTTGGATACAAAAATACTTCTAGACCTAGTAGTCGTGATGGGAGGGGTAATTTAAGAAAATCTGCGGATCAAAAGCACTTTTTAAATTTGGCCAAACACATTAAATTTTCAAAAAAAAAAAAAAAATTAGCTCCCGAAAAGCTTGGCCAAATATGCTAGATAACACCTTTTAGATTGTACCTTATCATATCACCTTTTTATTGCTTATAAATACAGATTCATTGTTTTCAAATTTTATATAACAGAAATTCTAAAAGTTTTTGTATATTTCTAAAATCATTTACATTGTGTGATTTGTTACGTCATTCGAGTTCACCAAAGTTTTGTAATTTAAAATTTCATTATAAATAATACTTTTTTTTTCCTTGGAGGAATTAATTATTGCCAGATCTATGTTTGAAGGTATAGGTGCTTCAGCACCCATTGTGTTTGGCCAAACTATTTTATCTATGCATATATAATAATAATAAAAGTCTATAAAGTGGCCATAAGCATCCACTTATGACAAAGTTCCAATGGCTGAAATTTATAATAAAATCAGGTAAGCATCCACAACCTGTAAATTTTGAATTTATCACTGGAATTGATCCAATTACCTTGAGCAACTGTAAGAAAATTAATTCCTTAAAGATACACAAGAAATTCGTGGACTCGAAATATTTTTACATTTCTGTTCTATGTTCTGCTTTTCAGATTTTTTACTTTTCTGATTTTTTGCCTTGAACACAGTTTACTAACAGTACTAGTAGTAATGAAGTGGAAAACTACAGAACAAAGATGATAGTAGAAGAATTCCAACCTGCTGTTTAAGTATGATAAAAATAATAATGCAAGACACAGAAGCTAATAAAAACTATTTTCCATATGATCAAATGGAAAAGAAGTGCTGAACTGGTGGCTTAATTACTCCAGTATACGAACTTGGAGACTGTCACATCCTGTAGTTTCTTCAATTTCCTTTTTGATATTCATAGCTGAAACTCCGAGAGAATCCATGCAGTCTTCTACTTCAATAAGTTGGAGCGTTGGAACATCCACAAAGCAAGGTGGGATCTCCTCAAGGTAGCAATAACCTTTGATAACTAGTTTTTCAAGCATGGGAAAGGATTCCTCTGAAGCTTTCCATTCTGTCAAATCCTTAATCTGTAATGTCAAGTATTTGAGTGCAGGGAACACGACATCTCTAACGTCCCAACAGTAGTTCAGATTCCAGAATCGAAATCCTCTTATTAATGTAAGACTCTCAAGCATCCGCAATCTTGCAATGTTTGCCACTATCTTTTCCGTTAGTGACATGTTGCGAATGCTCAAACGCCTAAGATTTGAAGGGAAGACAAAGTATTCGTCCCATCCAACTGAAGTATTGTATCCTTTCCTGCCTTTTTTGACTTCAAGTTCGAGAGATTGAAGGTGAGTATGAACTTCTGGTATAGGAAACAAAGGACGGCAAGGTACATCTTGAATTTTGAGGCAGAGTTGTTCAAGATTGGGGAAGCTCCACCAGAAACTTGGATTCATATCATCCACATATGTACAGCACATGCCAAATGTCTTCAAGTTCTCTAGCATAGTTGTTGAAGATTGTTCAAAAACTGCCCGGTCATCGTCATCCCATACCAAGGAAAATTTGGTTATATTCACATGCCTTAGCTTTGTCATTTTCCATATACCGAGCAATGTAATTGGATTGTAGCTGCATAAATAAACCTTTAGAGTTTGAAGATCGAGTAGGTGAGAAATCCACTCGAAATCAAATTCATTGACAAAAATTTCAAGGAATCTCAAGTGAGTTAGAGATTGTACTGCAGTAGTCCAAGAACTTGGCAAGAAGGCGGCATTCATCAAACGTAACACTCGAACAAGTCTTAATTTAACCAGTAAAGGTAAAAGATCTGATCGATAATAATTCCATGTGATGAATTGTACTGGATGAGCAATGAACTCCAAAGGCTTAGGCCATTCACCAGAACACTTAGTTTCCAGCTTGGACTCGAGCATTGGAATCCTATCCAGCCAATATTCGCAACGATCTAATTGTTCAACCAGATCATCATGAATATAAATGCATAACCGCGATTCCTTGGAATACACATGTTGATTTGGACTGTATGGCACTATCAACTGCATATACTTTTCTTCTGTAAGTTTTGCCAAGCAAAACTCACGCACTACATCGTGAACTGTGCAGTATTCTATGTCATCACATGCATTAAAACTCGCATTAGAGACCATCACTAGGCTTCTCTTAAGTAGATCATTCAAGCAAATTCTACATGTTTCCTCTATGTTCTCTGTGTCAATATTATCTACAAACTCTTCAGCCATCCATAATTGTAGCAAATAAGATACAAAAATCTTCTCGTCTTCTCGAAAGAATGCCATGTAAAGAAGGCATGATTTTAAGTGGTCTTCTAAATGATCATAACTTGATTGCAGTACCTTCATGCTTTGCTCTCCTAACACATGAGAACTTAAGTCATTTGCAACCTCAAGCCACAAGGATGGCTCCCTTTCCATTTTCATAATAATTCCAGCAATCAGGACAACCACAAGGGGCAATCCCTTACAGTGTTCTGCAACTTGTAACCCTGCTTCCCGTAGATTCGGAGGACAACTCTCGCCTCCAAATACTTTCTTCTGTAGTAATTCCCAACTCTCTTCCGTTGTCAGAAATCTAAGACAATAAGGATCACTACGGTGTTGAAGATGCTTAGCCACTTCTTCAATTCGAGTTGTTACAATTACTCTACTTCCATCTTTACCATTAGGGAAGCATAATCCCAAATCTTCCCATGCTTCGACTTTCCATATATCATCTAATACAATGAGATATCTCTTGCCTTTTAGACTCTTCTGCAACTTGTCCGCTATGTCAATGTCCTCCATGATTTCTCTCTTATCACTAGTTGCTTGTTTGAAAATCTCAATCAACAACTTCATCCTATTATATGTTTGCGAAACAGGAACCCATACTTTAACACCAAAGTGATTAACAATAGAAGGATTGTTGTAGACTTTCCTGGCCAAAGTTGTTTTTCCGAGACCTGGCATCCCAAAGATTGAGATGACATCTAGCTCCTTTGCTCCACCAGTCAATTTCTTCATTATACTTTCTGCATCTTTCTCAAAGCCCACAACTTCATCATCAGTTGATAGAAAACTACGTTTGCTGGAAGGCTTTGCAGAAGAAATAGTTCCTTTTTCACATGTCTCAACAACCTCCATCTCTAGTTGGTATCTTTCACGATTGTGGAAACTACTATCCAACTGCCTTACAGTTAATAGCTCTGTCACCTTCCATAAAATAAATCAAAACAAAGTTAGGGGTGTTCACGGCTCGGTTTGATCGGTTTTTGATTAAAACCAAAACCAAACCAATTTAATCAGTTTTTAAAATTTTAAAACCAAAACCAAACCAATTTAATCAGTTTTTAAAATTTTAAAACCAAAACCAAACCAAATTAAACACAAACCATCGGTTTGTTGTCATTGGTTTGGTTCGGTTTGGTTAGGTTTTTCGGTTCGTAGTAAGCTAATAATAAGTTGATAATAGTGAAACAATACTAGACAATAATCTGAAAATAATTTACTAAATTTATACTTTTTTATATATTTCTTTCGGAACTGAAAGTTTATTTACCTCTTTATATGAAAAGAAAGAACAAAAAAAACAACTAAAAATTTGCTTTCTCAAGCTTTAACCAATGTAGTCATGCAATTTGAGTTTGCTTTCTTTATTCTTATGGTAGGATTTTTTTTAACTCTTCCGTTAGGCAAAAGTATGTGCGGAGGAATAGAGAATTAAAGTCTCTTAAGGAAAAGAAAATTGGCCGATTCCTATTGTTTTGGGCTTAGGCAATCTTTTAAGATATAAGTAGGATAAACCAAAATTCAAAATATCAATTAAATTGCATAAAATATTTAAAATCATTTAGAAAAAGATATTATATTATATATAAATAATTATTAAATTTTATATATAATTAATCTGGTTGGTTCGGTTTAATTTTTGGTTTTTTCTACTAGAACCAAAACCAAACCTAATATTATCGGTTTTTAAAATTTAAAACTAAAACCAATCCGAATCAAAAAAATATCGGTTTACTTAATCGGTTTGGTTTGATTTTCGGTTTGGATCGGTTTTCCGTCAAACCGTGACCAACCTAAACAACATTAACAATCTTCTTTATTTAGAGAAAGAATTCAAACCAATAATTAATAACAAATATTTTATGCCGCATTTAAGGTTTTATGGGTCTAAAGGCCACCAGTATATAATGAAGAAATAAAGTAGGCCTCCAAAATCTTAATTTATAACGTCACGCCTTAATAGTAAATTAATGAAACTTTATGTTCCCATTATTCGAAATACCATAGGAGCCAAAGGAAAAATAAAGAAATTTCATGTTATTAATTATACAAATAGCTTAAGTGTTGTTTACATTATTTCAAATACGATAGGAGACAAAAGAAAAATAAAGAAATTTTCATGCTATTAATTATACAAATAGCTTAAGTGTAATCCTACTTTATCATAAAGCGGCTGATTTTAAATGTTCATTAATTATATAAATAGCTTAAGTGTAATCCTACTTTATCATAAAGCGGCTGATTTTAAATGTTCATTAATTATATAAATAGCTTAAGTGTAATCCTACTTTATCATAAAGCGGCTGATTTTAAATGTTCATTAATTATATAAATAGCTTAAGTGTAATCCTACTTTATCATAAAGCGGCTGATTTTAAATGTTCATTAATTATATAAATAGCTTAAGTGTAATCTTATTCGAGTAGATTTCAAATTTATATTGAATGATGTATTTGACATATTTAAATTATCATGTAAATAACGAGTAATACCTAACACTCAATGTTATTGCTTTGGAATAATTATATTTTATATTGATTAAAAGTTTTAATTTATATGTTTACTTTACGTTGTATAGTTTAATTTAATTCTTTTATAATAAATATTTAAATTTATTTTTCTTGTTTAAATAATACTAACCACAAATTAAACTTTTACTGTCCTTTTCGTAATTTGATACTTAAAAGTGCTTTTTTTAAAAGATTAGACAAATATAATGAGCTTGCAAAAAGCACAACTCAAACGAATTGGCCAAACACAAACTGCTATTTTCGCAAAAGTACTTTTGAACAAAAACACTTTTCAAAATAAGCAGTTTAAACCGTTTCTCTCTCAGTGCATGTTAGCTTAACGTGCGCCATCCATGGGGAAGAGAGCTCAGAATCAATCGCAGAAGACAATCCTTGGCTCAGGAATCAGCTGCGTTAGTAGGAAATTAAATCAACAACGAAAAAGGATGAGCTGCTAAAGGCAATTGAAATCTCGAAGTCATAGGAGATAGAGTTGGAAACCAATGGAACAGTACTAACAAAATCTAGGGATGCAAACTCAGAGAAAATTGGGGGATCTTCAATAGCTAGCACACCTGAGCAATTGGAGGTAACATCCACCTCAAAAGAAGCTTCAGGAAGTTCGTCAAAGAGTCAAAGTAAACTCTCGTGGGCAGACGAAGTAGAACTAATGGATGAAGTTGCAAGCAAGGGATCCATTTGGGAAAACTTTGACATCACAAGGGTAACTAATGCTGGTTTTGAACTAGAATACATAGCTCCAGAGGTGCATGCAGAGACTCTTGTATGGTGAAATTGAAACAGAGGATATCAGTATAGAACTGGAATATTGGAAAACTGTTGTAGTGTGTTATGTTTTGAGGGCTCACCCTCCCTTCTTAGTTTTGAACAACTATATCCAGAAAATATGGGGCAAATATGGCATTAATAAGATCCATATGATGAAGAATGGATAGTTTTGGTGCAATTTGATGATGTAGTAAGGAAGAATGAAGTTGTTCAAGGAGGTATATACCACTTTGATAACAAACGTTTATTGTAAAAGCATGGTATCTGGACATGGAATTTACCAGAGAGGAGCTCTATACAGTTCCAATTTGGGTTGAATTACCAACTTGGACTTCAAATATTGGAGCTCAAAGGGATTAAGCAAAATAGGGAGTTTAATTAGTAAACCATTGATGGTAGACAATCACATAGAAAAGAAAATGAGGCTTAGCTTTACATGATTACTTATTGAAGTAGGTATAAATGCCAAGCTACCAGAAAAGGTTTTCTTTAAAAAATGAATGTCTATGGAACAAAATGTACAATATCATTGGAAACCTACTTTATGTAAGTTTTGTAAGAAATATGGTCATGAGGAAAAAGAATGTTGGATAAAGAAGGTGCATCAACCTTCACATGTCTAGAGACAACAAAAACTAGCTCAGAAACAGGAAAAACCAGTGATAAAGGCTGCATAAGAGATACAATGTGTGAATATAAGCAAAGGGTTAGCAGGTAGTCAAGAGGTAAATTCAGGATGGGTAACACCTATTAATATTGCAAGGAACACAATTAGCAAGAAACAAGGAAATATAGGAATTCGGATTAACGAATAGAACACTTTCAAACCACCAGCTCAAGGTCCTAGTGAGTTTGTAGACCAATGTGTTCAAGGAGTACAAAGTCAAGTTGTAATGATCCGACCGGTCGTTTTGAGCTCTAGCACGTCGTTTGATGATTTGAGGCCATGAGTAGCTTCAGTTAAGGTATTATGACTTATACATATGGTCGGAATTGAATTTCGTGAAGTTCGGAGTTGATTTAGAAAGAAAATTCTCATTTCGAAAGATTTAAGTTGGAAGCATTGACCAAGGTTTAAATTTTGAGTAAACGACCTCAGGATCAGGATGTGAAGGTCCCAATAGGTTCATATGATGATTTTGGACTTGGGCGTATGTCCAGATCGGGTTTGGGATGACCCGGGAGCGTTTCGGTGCCTATTATGGAAAGTTGGTATTTTGGTAGGATTTCATAAATTTGGGTTGAAGTTCATTTCAATGTTATCAATGTCCATTTAGAATTATGAGCCTAGGAATAGCTCCGTATGGTGATTCTAGTCGTAGGATCACATTCGGGTGTGGATTTGAAAGTCCGTATGTCATTTTGGGGTCATTTGGCGAAAGTTGGAAATTTGAAGATTTTTAGAAAGTTTGATCGAGAGTGGACTTTTTGATATCATGATCGAATTTCAATTCTAGAAGTTGGAGTAGGTCCATAATATTGAATGTGACTTGTGTGCAAAATTTGAGGTCAATCAGACGTGATATGATAGGTTTCTGCATCGAACGTAGAAGTTTGAAGTTCTAAAGTTCATTAAGCTTGAATTGGGGTGAGATTCATGAATTAGACGTTGTTTGATATTATTTGAGGCCTCGATCAAGTTTGTGTTATGTTATGGGACTAGTTTGTGTGATTGGACGGGATCCCGAGGGCCTCGGGTGTGTTTCGGATCAATTTTTGGATGAAAGGTTGTGCTGGTTCTGCTGGTTTTTGGCTCTGGACTATAGGTCTCGTAAACGCAAGCATTTGTGAACTTGCATTTGCGAGGGAGGAGTCGTATTTGTGATGGTGGCAAAGTACTAAAGGGTTCGCATTTGCGATACTATCCCTTTCGCATTTGCAAAGAATTTGGTCGCAAATACGACCTTGGCAGGGGTGGCTCTGGTTCGCATGTGTGATGCTTTTGTCACAATTGCGAACATCACATTTGCGAACAAGATGTCGCAATTACGAACATCGCAGTTGCGAACAAGATGTCGCAAATGCGACATCTGCGACTGGTGCAAGGGCTTATTTTTTGGGACTTAGGAGATTTTTGAGAGCATCTTGAGCGGGGTTCCATCAACATCAAGAGGCAAGTGATTTCCCGTGTATTTTGAGTTAAATACTTGAATTATACATAGATTTTAATATGGAAATTCGTGGAAAATTTATAGAAATTTGGGGTTTTGGTGGAAAACCTAGAAAATTGGTATATTTTGATTTTGACCACGAATGTAGGCATGGAATTGGGAATAAATTATATATTTGAGTTCGTGGGAGTTATGGGTAATGTTTATCTTCGAAATTTTTTGGAATCCAAGCACGTGGGCCTGAGGGTGATTTTTATTGACCTTTCAGGCGGAGTTGGGAATTGTTGCAAATTGGATTATAATGAGCATTAGAGTATATATTCATTGATTTGCACATTTATTGACTTATTTTGGAGCGTCGGGCATCGGTTTGAGTTGTTGGAACAGATTAAGGCCCGATTATGGAATCTTGGAGCAAGGTAAGTCTCTTTTCTAACCTTTTATGAGGGAATTAATTCCATAGGTGAACTAAATTAATATGTGATTCTATTTGTGGGGTATATGTATGCACGAG